CAAGTGATTACCATCTTCAATGGCAATTGATATGATAGCCTGAATAGCATAAGAAGTAATGATGGAGTTATGAAGAGGTAAATTACGCATGCTTCTCTCCATCAAGTAAAGAGAAGTTTTACACTCGAGAAAAGACATTAACAAACCGTGAAAACATAAAGTTAAAACACATGATGTATTTAGTGAGTATGCCTCAGAATACGTTCTTCACTTTGTGCTAATTCCTAGAAAACCAGATGTGAGGAAAGCAAATAGGCAAATACAGAGAGGAACAACTGTTTTCATTCTGAACAACGATATCCATAAGAAGAAACTTACTTTTACAGCATCGACATTCTTTTGCTTCATATCTCCTGCGCAATGGAGATTTGTGAACTTGGCCATGGAAGTGACAAATGCATCTCTTTGCGTTTGCATACCCATAACTGCTGTAACATGAATGGCATACCGAAAGCCTCGTAAGCATTCAACTGCAGCAAGCCTGTCATCACTCTGATCAAGTGTAACGCTGAATGCGGCAAGCATTGGTCCCCAGGAAACTTCAACCATAAACCGCAATATTGCAACATCTGTGACGACATGGTAAGCTGATCTACAAGACCGACAAAAGAATCTAAGTCATGAGATCGATGTTATGACTGCAGATCCGAAGACATTCCTCCACCGTAATTGTCAGCCATAATCCTTTTTACAAGATAGATTATCAGGAATTCAGAAGGTAAACTAAAGGGTAAATAACATTACAGAAAACCTGGTTTTCAGCTTCATTCGCTAATTTTACAGGGAACATAACTAGCTCAGCAGCATCAAACTAAAACCAATCAGTCCATATAATCCTTCATTAGAATATCGTTTTATAATCAATATTATCTAGTCAAATCATCTCCTGACTCGGTTCACACTAGACCTTGAATGAAAGGTACATGAGCTTACTCTGATTTTCCAGACTTCGACCTGAACTTTTCTTGAATATGCTTTATAAGAAGACCATTAGCCCCTACAGCTTTCTCTTCTGTCTGTGTCCAATAAACCAGATTGAGTATACCGTCCAGACCCAGTAGTTTATTCAGGCCGTTGGACTGCCTGCTTTCTGGAGCAGAAGAATCAGAACTCATCTTTATTTCATTTTTGACAACTTGGTCATAAAGCGCACCAAGATACTCTTCTGGAAGATCTTTGCCATCATCAATGCCTCGGTTATTTCTGATAAAATCAGCCTTGGTCATCTGATTGTCATAAAGCAGAAAAGCAGATGTAAAACAAGTAAATATACATTGTAGTTCTTATACCAATAAAAAGCAATTTCCAAATATAGAATATTCAATAACAATTTCTGAGCACAGAAATAACCAGAAAATGTTAACACATTCAACTGCAGTCCAAAAGCTAACCTGCCATGGACTGAACAAACTGTGACAGCCATGAATACAAACCTTTTCTTTAACCATGATATTATGGGCATCAGTGTTAAGCATTATCACAGAGTATGCAAGAACATATGCTGTGTCAGCACTGCTGAATGAATTTGGATTGCATTTGCAAAAGCGTTCAGCAAATTTTTCCATTATGCGGTCAATTTTCTGTGCTTCCCCAGGAAGCCTGAACCCCCTTAAGAAAAACCTAATTGCCTCACCAAAATTCATCTCCTTGAAATCAAACGAGTCCACATAGGCATGCATAACTTTCATTGGAAACTCCTCTCTTTCACCCAAATAATCACCAATCATGGTTGCATTCAAGCCTGTGGTATTCCTCAGGAACGACACCACCTCATCCGGGGAGCTGCCAACCTTTTTAGAGCTTATAAGAAACTCAATGCCCTTTGAAGGCTTTCTATTGAATAGAGTGACGCCTTTCTGCACATAAACCAAGAAAGATGATAAAAGAAAATAAAATCTCCGAATGGGATAAAAGCAATAGTTTACTTCCTTTATGGTGCAAAATAAGACCTGGAGTTCAATTTTGTATGTCCTCCTCTGTTCAAGAGTTGCAGCGTCTGATGAATCTGAACTCAAATCTGGGTGAAATTCATGATCTGTAGTTGTCCCCTCTTCTTCATTTGGGTTTGAATGATTGTCTGTAGGTACTTCATTTTCTACTCTCTTAGGCGAAAGTGACTCTCCCACGCTAAATTGTTGGTCCATCCATGTTCCCATTGCCTTAATAATGCTAACTAAGCACTTCACTGATTCGTGCCGAAAAGTAATATCCTGGATTGGGGTCAAAGTTGTCGACGAACCAGGAGGAGGCCCTAGCGCCGTTTTTAGAAGACCATTGACAATCCTGCAAACATCTGATAGAATTATAAGAGCTTTAATACATTTTGCTAAAGTACAAGACCACTAATGGAATATACATATCAACCATAGGGCACCCTGGTGGCCTGATCGGATGTCTAACATTTTTCAGCTAAAGATTGTAATCAGACGACACCTGGAATGCTATTCCGGATACAGAAAACAGAAAAGTTATCTTGCGGAGATATAAAATGATTTCAAATTTGCAAATACCTTTCGAAGATGTTTGGTGACTCCACATCACAGTCAAAGTTCACAAATATGTCAATGATTAGGTACGGGTCGTGGCAAATGTTCTCAAGTAAGCTGAGCACAGTCATTTTCTGCAAGAAACTTGGCTGAAGAACATTTTCAAGGACTCGGAGGACAAGCATGGGGAAGAATATGCCTACTTCTGATTTCATACCCGATCTATATTTACGTAGTAAGCTGGTGAAGATAGCACATTGAAGTTGAAAAATAGACATAACCGAAAGTGCGCTATTCTTTAACAGGGATAAGCAAAGATACTGCTTAATGGCATTTAGAAACCTGCATATTGTAGGGAGGGAAAGTTAGCTCTTGGATAACGTGCAATGCATACTGGGAGACGAATAGCAAATGCGCATTAGATAGGGAATGTAACCTGTAGAATCAAAGATAAAACTTGCCTTTCGTCAGAGCGCCAAATTGGGCCACCGTTGTCAATTATAACTTTGAGCAACTCAAGAGACAGAGTCTTGCCTCTCACAAGAATCTGATCGTCGGTGTTCTCTTGAGACGAGAACTTCATAGACAGCTTACACAGATTTTTGAACATAAGGAATCCGTCTTCCCTGATCTTGTTTGTGCCCTCATCCTCAGTATTCACCCCATCTCCGCCTTCCTCTGGTGGTTCAAGAATTAGCCTGAAATCCGGAGGAGGAGCTGCTTCCCCGGCCGTGATAACGTCGTTAATGAATCCCTGGCAAATATGAACAGAGTTCCCTTCGTTGACATTTTTATCGGTGATGGCAAGCAAGTCGTTGACATTAACCGTTTTGAGAGATACATCCATAGAATTCGCCTCGGATCTGGTGAAGACGATGAGCATAATCTGAGCCAGAACAGATTTAGCGCAGATCTGGTTGGTGCCATTAAATCCGCCGAGATACACGTTGTAGCAGGTCCTGACAAGATGGAGCAAACAATCGCCTCGGATCAGGATGCGAGGAGATCTGACGGCAGCGAGGAGGACGCGAAGGACCGCCAGCTCAATTGACTCCTCGCCGAGGCCGCAGACCTTGCAGATCGCGTGGATGAGCTTGTAGAGAAGAGAATCAGGAGGCGAGGAGCAGACCTCGCCACGGAGGAGGGAGAGAGAGAAGAGCTTGAAAGAGCAATCAAGAGCAGGCTCAACAACCTTGGAGTAGGCGGTATCAAGAGATAGAAGGAGCGGCTGGAGGACGGCATCCGAATCGGAGGTGGAGAGACCGAAGAGAGGAGATGAAGGATCGGGAGAATCGGAGAGGGATTCGAGCTTGTCGAGGACAGATTTACAGGCGGAAACAAGGAAGGTGTGCTTGCGCCAGGCGGCATTTTTGATGATCTTGTCCAGAGATGGGCCAATGACCCGGCCGCATCTGGTGGCGCCTCCAAGGCTCTGCGACGACGACGACATGACCGACGGGCTCGATCTAACTACACCTTCCCATTCAAAACGGCCAAGGATATCAAAAATGCCATTTTTTATTTTTTTTTTCTTCTCACGCCGACACGTCAAAACGAAACGCTGGCGTTTCTTCATGAGATATATGTACTATACTGCACTGTATTTTTTCTTTTTTAGCTGTTTACATGTATTATTTGTTTAACTATCCCTAGATTAATTTAAGTCGTGAGAACGGTGTAGGTGATGACTGATGAGGAGTGGTATGTGTGCTTTGCTGCATGTTTGTGGCCTGGACGGATCTTAGAGCATGTACAATAGAGAGTTGAATTAAAAGTTCCTTAAGAATATTATAATATTTTTTATAAACAATCTTTTAAAGGCCAACCCTAAAAATCCTTCTGCAAAGACAGCCTTTATATTTTGAACTTCCTTTTCATTATTTTAACTCAAAATATTATTAACAACCCAAATAAAAAATGTGAAGGATTCTCAATACACATGGTCTTAATCTAGATCATAGATCATAACTATTATGCATGGTGTGAGCTTTTTTTCTCGCTCACTTTCGATGTCTTAGTTTATTATATACCGTCGCTCTGATTCATAACGTTTTCAAAGCTATAGTATGAGGTCTCCTCCATATATTTAACCGTCAGCTCCTGTAGTTGTACTTGTAATATATTTATATACACGTTCATATTATCTGTCTTCTTAATCTGATTGGGTTAACTAAGTATCTCAAGAAATAAATCAGTAAAGAACTAATCAACAAAGCATTTATTTATAATACTAGACAACTGAAATCCAATACTTTAACCCCAAAAAAATGAAATCAAAATTTATATATATACTAAGTGAATACCCGCACCCACGCGCAGATTTTTCTTCTGTTAAAGTTTTATATTACATAATAATATTGATTGGTGTTTTGGTATGTCATCTTATATAAACTCGAATCAATACATCCAATTTTAGAATTTAGCTTCAAGTGTCTCTGTGTAAATACTAATTATAAAATAAAAATCCAAATCTTACCATCACGATAGTAAAATTTGAAGTTTATAAGTCTCAAAGTAAATCAAATGTTGCTAAAAGTGAATTACAACAAATCTCATAAGGCCTTACCATGTCCAGAGTGACAATCTTTGGTCCATGTTAAAGTGGTACTGTTGATATGTAATGCAAATTTATCCAATCTCCTACATTTAGTTCCAGCAACTGCACATACCCATAGCTGCTACAAAGATAAGTCTCAACTACATTGAGAAGACTCCGAAGCTATAATAGTTGGAAAAATATATTAATACCTGAAAAGCAACTTTCTCGAACTTTTTCGTGTAAAGCCTCGTCTCTTCCAATACGTAAGACCATCCGCAACGCTGGTTTTTACCAGCGTTTCTACTATTTTTTTTATTAAAAAATTCATGCAGAAGAGTAAATGGCTGGAGACATTTCTTTAATTAGTACGGGTGAAAGCTTTTCTTCCCCACTTTTCATATTAAAAAAAATAAATAAGAGACTAAAGTGAGTTTTTGCATTGCAGATAAAAACTCAATTCCCTGCAAGTGGATTCAAAATATATCAGACGTATTAAAGTGTCCTACATGTCTAAAAGTAGGCACTTACGCAAAGAAAAACGTTCTTCCTCTCTCGTAAGAAAAAAAATCCTGCAGTTTATTCGCTGATATTCCCATAAATTCTTCCTTAACTTCCATATGTAATAATAATACAGTAATACCTTTTGACCCTTCAGGTTTTTCTGCATCATGAATTTAAAGAAAAAGAAGAAAAATATGACATTTCATATAGAGATATTGAGAAAATCATATAACATAAAATTGGTAGCCAAAAGAAAAAGAATGAGGACAAGACGACTTCAACGTGCAACCCAGCCCCACTTCTTTGTTGACTTCTCCAATCTTGTTCAGTAAACTAAAAACTCATTTTAAAGAGTTGACATACTCTTCTTACTGTCTTCCTTTAACTAATTGTCATTTATTTCCTTGTATAACTGTACCTAACTTCTTTCCCTTCCCGCTAAAGAGAGTAACATTCTATATGTACAATCTAACTATAGAATGTCAACATAATTATAAAATATTTTAGAGATGAATGAAAGAGTCATAATCCAGAAAAATAATAAGGTTGCCTAGAGGAATAAAGGACCTGCGCTTTTAATTCGATGAGTAGATTAGCAACTGCAGAGTTTGTGTAAGATGCAAGCAGAATAGATGAACCTCTGATCAACAAAGCTTTCACAGAATGGACCATTGTGGAGGTTTTTTCCTGTTCCAGGCATTCCTAAGATCAACGCATAGTCCTTTGCAGTGAGTATCTGAAAATAAAACAAGAAAGCAAGTCCTTTATGAGCTTTGCTACAGAAATATTTTCGTTCAGAAATGCCTTAAGAATAGCATGTTAAATAAAAGATCAATCGAACATAATCAAGCAATGACCTGTAGTATAGCTTGATGGTGATCATTATTTAGGCTCTTTTCTGACCAAATATACGATATTGCGGGATCTGGCTCAGTATAGTTCCATTGTCAAATCTAGGAGGCTACAGAGACATGGAAGAAAGAAGACAAAACGCAGCATGTGAAGAAGAATATAAGAAACAAATAGCATTATCGTGTCAAGGGGAATACTGAAAAAGGTGAATCAGACATATCACCTCAAGAGCCACAATCATTTTCCTGATGCTAATGCTACGTTCGTTTTGTATGAAAAGCTGCATGAGATTGAACCTTGACGAATATGAAGATCACAAATCAATATCGTGACAGCCAGTCCATGTATGTAGGATTAATAAGTCAATAAAAAAATTACAAAATCATGAGAGAATTACATAACCGAAAATGATGTCATGAATTCATCTTTGTAAATTCGCCATAACTGCATGAGAGAGATTAGACACCTCAGAAGAAGGTTCGTTCCAAGGAAGCCGTAATCGCTTGGATAAAGAAACCTTAGGATTGACATAGCAAAAGGAATATCCAGGACTCTTTTAGACATGACTGAGTAAGAACATTGAGACAAACTAAGCTAATTCCACAAAATGTTTAAAGAAAATCTAGGAGGAATGTGCTTACTGATACATGAGTGTGACTAATATCCGCTATAGTACCATTTGCAACGGTCAGGTGGCTGATTTCTGTGCGAAGAATCTGGATATGAAAATTTTATAAACAAAGAAGCGGGAACAGCATAAACTAAGACTGAAAGTTTTTTTAAAAATTGCCGTAAAATTTTAAATTTGAAAAATTGATCACAAGTTTTCGCATCTAAGACTTTCACATAAATATGCTGGTGAGCAAGAAAATGGTTGAGAAAATTTGGAAGAATACTCTTCTGGGGAGCTAATCAGGAAATGAATTGTACCACGTGGTCTCCAAGTCATCAGTTGCAGGGGTTCCAATCCTAATCGTATCTTCACTGGGTACTCTTTCTCTAGATTCAGATGAGTTTTGACGAAGAAAACAATCCACGATCCGAAGGCGGTCCTTGATTTTCGATCGGAACCTCACTCGCTAAAAATACCCCGCCGGTTCCACCGCCACAAATTTTCACAAATCAAAATCCGATTCAAATTCCGGACGACAAACCCAGAAAAACAAATTCAAAACCCAGAACCAAATGAGTAACTGGAGGAAATTAATTAAAAGAAATCTCGAGAAAACTACGAACAGGCTGCAGCGGCCGCATCGATCTTCACCTTAGATCGCTTGGTGGGCCGTGGAGATAGACGACGCTTCAAGAGAAGAAGAAGAACAGAAACATTCCGCTTAAGAAGTACGTCTCGTCTCCATAGTTACGTCGAATTTTTTATTTGGACACGTGTCGTCTCTACAGCTGATGACGTGTCACCTGAAAAGAGTTTTTTGTCTTTTATATATATATATATATACATATATATGTATATATATATATATCCACACTTTAAATAGTAACAAAAATTATATAACTTTTTAAGTTGCATACAAAAGAAAAAACGCTTCTAAACGATCAAAGATTATTTGTTTCATGTTATCTGTCTTTTTGATTTGATTGGAATGAGTTCTTATTTTTTTCTTACGAAATAAAACAGTAAAGAACTAATCAAAAGCATTTCTTCATAATTATGGTAGATCATCGATTTAGTAGACAACTAAGATCCAATAATCCATATATATATATATATATATATATATATATTTATATATGAATTTTAGCTATGATTAAATGTAATGTTTTGTGTATAAACAGATTCAAGGGTATCTAATCATAATAATAATGTATACGAAATTATAGAGTAATCCACATTTTGAATAGCAATAAGAAATCATATAACGTAACTCTTTAGTTACACGAAAAACTTTTTCAAATGATTGAATATATTATTTCTGTATAGTTTAGTTAAAAATAGAACATTATATACGTAAGTTAAAAATTACAATTTTTTCTGTTGTCCTCGAAGAGTGAAGAGTTGGTTTCCGCAATAAAATGAATTAAAAGAAAAAAGAGAACATGAAAATCCCAAAATAGAACAAGACAACTGAGCTTCTAAAAATAGGTTGATGCATAATACAATAGAAGCCCAAAAATAGAGAATCATGGCATAAACAGCCTTATGCCCTGATAATCCTCCCCTCCTTAACTTTCTCTTTGTTTCCCCCAAAGTATCAAGGACGTAAAAGCTCACGTCTCATCTTTATTCTGCATGATCACATTGATTCACGCAGAAACCAAGCTTCTTCGTTTGGCATCATAATGGCGTCCACGCCTTCTCAAACGTCTAAGAAGGTTCGTAACAATTCTGGTAGCGGACAAACGGTTAAATTCGCAAGAAGAACATCTAGTGGACGATATGTGAGTCTATCCCGAGATAATATTGAATTATCGGGCGAGCTCTCGGGAGATTATTCTAACTATACAGTTCACATACCTCCGACGCCGGACAACCAACCCATGGCCACCAAAGCTGAAGAACAATATGTGTCAAACTCTCTATTTACCGGAGGTTTTAACAGTGTCACGCGTGCACATCTTATGGATAAAGTCATCGATTCAGATGTCACACACCCTCAGATGGCTGGTGCTAAAGGTTCTTCGTGTGCCATGCCTGCTTGCGACGGAAAAGTCATGAAAGACGAGAGAGGAAAGGACGTGATGCCATGTGAATGCCGGTATGTATATAATATTAATCAAACATTAATTGCTATATATTATATTTACTTGTTGCACAAGACAATGAGGTTTCTAAAACCAATAAATGGTTGGTTTTTTTTTTTTTTTTTTAAGGTTCAAGATCTGTAGGGATTGCTTCATGGACGCCCAGAAAGAGACAGGTTTATGTCCAGGATGTAAGGAACAATACAAAATCGGGGACCTAGACGATGATACGCCTGATTTTTCTAGTGGTGCTCTCCCCTTACCAGCTCCAGGAAAAGATCAACGTGGCAATAACAGCAGCAACATGTCCATGATGAAAAGGAATCAAAACGGCGAATTTGACCACAACAGGTGGTTGTTTGAGACGCAAGGCACATACGGTTACGGGAATGCGTATTGGCCTCAAGATGAAATGTACGGAGATGATATGGACGAAGGAATGAGAGGTGGCATGGTGGAAACAGCTGACAAACCATGGCGGCCGCTAAGCCGACGGATTCCAATCCCAGCTGCCATCATAAGCCCCTACAGACTGTTAATCGCAATTCGTTTTGTCGTGCTCTGTTTTTTCCTAACTTGGAGGATTCGAAACCCTAACGAAGATGCAGTATGGCTATGGTTGATGTCAATAATATGCGAGCTTTGGTTTGGATTTTCATGGATTCTAGACCAAATCCCAAAGCTGTGTCCCATAAACCGCTCTACCGACCTAGAAGTACTTCGTGACAAATTTGACATGCCTTCTCCATCAAACCCCACAGGGAGGTCTGATCTTCCGGGTATCGACCTCTTTGTGTCCACGGCAGACCCAGAGAAAGAGCCACCCCTTGTCACCGCAAACACTATTCTATCCATCCTGGCCGTTGATTATCCGGTGGAGAAGGTGTCATGCTACCTTTCTGATGATGGAGGAGCCCTTCTATCGTTTGAAGCCATGGCAGAAGCTGCCAGCTTTGCGGATTTATGGGTGCCCTTTTGTCGGAAACATAACATCGAACCTCGGAATCCAGACACATATTTTAGTTTGAAGATTGATCCAACAAAAAACAAAAGCAGGATTGACTTTGTCAAGGACAGGAGGAAGATTAAGAGAGAGTATGATGAGTTCAAGGTTCGAATCAACGGCCTCCCTGACTCAATACGGAGGAGGTCGGATGCGTTTAATGCAAGGGAAGAAATGAAGGCTCTGAAACAGATGAGAGAGAGCGGAGGTGATCCAACAGAACCTGTGAAAGTCCCTAAAGCCACGTGGATGGCCGATGGTACCCACTGGCCAGGAACTTGGGCAGCCGCTACTCGAGAGCATTCCAAAGGTGACCATGCTGGGATCCTACAAGTGATGTTGAAGCCACCCAGCAGCGATCCTTTAATCGGCAATGACAACGACAAGATCATTGATTTTTCAGATACAGATACTCGGTTACCCATGTTTGTGTATGTGTCACGTGAGAAACGACCAGGTTATGATCACAACAAAAAAGCTGGAGCCATGAATGCACTCGTCCGTGCCTCTGCTATTCTCTCAAATGGACCTTTCATCCTTAATCTTGATTGTGATCATTACATATATAATTGCAAGGCCATCCGAGAAGGGATGTGTTTTATGATGGACAGAGGTGGTGAAGACATTTGCTACATTCAATTCCCACAAAGATTTGAAGGCATCGATCCTTCCGATAGATATGCCAACAACAACACTGTGTTTTTTGATGGCAATATGCGTGCTCTCGACGGTGTTCAGGTAACTATATACATACAGTAATTCTTTTTTCTATCTTCTTCTTAATACAACAAACTTGTATATTTTTTTTGAACTTTTTTTTTTTTTTTAATTGCATTGCAGGGACCGGTTTATGTCGGAACAGGAACTATGTTTAGACGATTTGCTCTCTACGGTTTTGATCCACCAAATCCTGACAAGCTTCTAGAGAAGAAGGAAACAGAGATAGAGGCCCTGACAACTAGCGACTTTGACCCGGACCTTGATGTCACACAACTCCCCAAACGCTTCGGCAACTCAACACTCCTAGCAGAGTCAATTCCTATTGCAGAGTTTCAAGGTCGTCCATTGGCAGACCACCCTGCTGTCAAGTACGGTCGTCCTCCTGGAGCCCTTAGAGTGCCTCGTGACCCACTTGATGCCACCACTGTGGCAGAGTCTGTTTCTGTAATCTCTTGTTGGTACGAGGATAAAACAGAGTGGGGAGACAGAGTCGGGTGGATTTACGGGTCAGTGACAGAGGATGTGGTGACAGGGTACCGGATGCATAACCGTGGGTGGCGTTCTGTTTACTGCATCACAAAACGAGATTCATTTCGAGGATCTGCACCCATAAATCTCACAGACCGTCTTCACCAGGTGTTGCGGTGGGCCACCGGGTCTGTTGAGATTTTCTTCTCAAGAAACAACGCCCTTCTCGCCTCCAAACGTCTCAAATTCCTCCAACGTCTCGCATACCTCAACGTTGGGATATATCCCTTCACCTCCTTGTTTCTCATCCTCTATTGTTTTCTTCCCGCATTCTCTCTTTTCTCTGGACAGTTCATCGTGCGGACGCTGAGTATCTCCTTCTTAGTCTACCTCCTCATAATCACCATCTGTTTGATTGGCTTGGCGGTTTTAGAGGTCAAGTGGTCTGGCATTGGACTCGAGGAGTGGTGGAGAAATGAACAGTGGTGGCTTATCTCTGGAACGAGCTCTCACCTTTACGCTGTGGTCCAAGGAATCCTCAAAGTCATTGCAGGGATCGAGATCTCCTTTACATTGACGTCCAAATCCGGAGGAGATGACAACGATGACATATACGCAGATTTGTACATAGTGAAATGGTCGTCGCTGATGATACCGCCCATAGTGATAGCGATGGTGAACATAATAGCGATTGTGGTGGCCTTCGTCAGGACGATATACCAGGCGGTGCCACAATGGAGCAAGCTGATCGGAGGAGCTTTCTTCAGCTTTTGGGTCTTGGCACATTTGTATCCATTCGCAAAAGGATTAATGGGTCGGAGAGGCAAAACTCCAACCATAGTTTTCGTGTGGGCAGGTCTCATTGCCATCACCATCTCTCTACTCTGGACAGCCATCAACCCTAACACCGGACCTGCTGCTGCTGCTGAGGGTGTGGGAGGCGGTGGTTTTCAATTCCCTTAAAAACATCCCCATTTACAATACATACATATATGATATACATATATAGGCGAGTTGAGTTTTGTAGACTAATCACATCCATTACTTGCATTTACTCTATTTCCTTTTCTTTTGTTTTTTTTCTTCTTCTTTCTTTTCTGGTAGAAAATTTTCTGGATTGATGACATTTCCTGATTGTATAATGCTGTGACTTTCAGCTTGTAACAGTCGTTTTTGTTTTCTTGCTAAATCACTCCTTCCTGTCCACGAAACAGCTATGAAATTTGAAATTCTATGAAAGCTGTGAGAACGGGCCGCGCAAAAGAAGTTGAGTCTTATTAATTTTATGAATTGATATGGCCCAATACGTAGAAAGATGTTGGGCCTTATGAAGGAATGGTTAGAAAGGGAAAGGCCAAGGTAAATTTAGAAGCGTCTCTCTTCTTCCCGGCGTCTCTCTTCCTCCGTGCCCGACAACTCTGTCTTCCTCCGCCATTCTCCCTCCCTCGTCTCTCTTCCTCTTCATTTCCTCTCGTTTCTTCTCACACAATCTATACTGTAGGCCATTCTAACTTCCCCTGCCTCTTCTTGTGTGCCCTTTCCCCACCGCACCGAACCCTAGTCACGCATTCCCTCGTCTTCGCTGCGTCTCAGATCACTCCCAATCTCATCTCAGAAAATTTTGCTTGAAATCAGAATCACGATAACCATAGGGGACTGTTTATGCTTTCTATTCCCTGGTCTAAATCCTTCAGGCGTCGACAGGATATGGATAATGAAGTGCTCGACTTCGATATTGGTGTAGGAGTTAGTAGTGGGGGAGATGTAGATGACGACGCTATCGATATTGAGCACCAAGATGGTATCGACGAGGATGATATGCTGGACAGCCCTATGCCTGGTTTTTCTGTCGGCAACTCTGATGCCGGAAATTACTTTCCCGAGGGTGATCTCCTGGATCTAGAGCCTTATGATGGTCTGGAATTCGAGTCCGAAGAAGCTGCCAAGGCATTCTACAACTCGTATGCGCGTCGCATTGGCTTTAGTACCCGTGTCAGTTCCTCCCGGCGCTCCCGGCGAGATGGAGCTATCATACAGAGGCAATTCGTTTGTGCAAAAGAAGGTTTCAGGAACATGAACGAAAAGCGCACCAAGGATAGGGAGATCAAGCGTCCGAGGACAATCACAAGAGTCGGATGCAAAGCCTCGCTCTCTGTTAAGATGCAAGATTCCGGTAAATGGCTTGTCTCTGGGTTTGTGAAAGAGCACAACCATGACTTGGTTCCTCCCGACCAAGTCCATTGTCTGCGCTCGCACAGGCAAATCTCAGGTCCTGCTAAGACCTTGATAGACACATTGCAAGCTGCAGGAATGGGTCCCCGCAGGATCATGTCCGCCCTCATCAAAGAGTATGGTGGCATAAGCAAGGTTGGCTTCACCGAAGTCGACTGTAGGAATTACATGAGGAACAACCGGCAGAAGAGCACAGAAGCAGAGATTCAGCTTCTTCTTGACTACTTGAGGCAGATGAGTGCCGACAACCCAAACTTCTATTATGCTGTACAGGGTAGCGAGGATCAGTCTGTGGGTAATGTGTTCTGGGCTGATCCAAAAGCTCGAATGGATTTCGCTTACTTCGGGGACACTGTTACTTTTGACACGACCTATAGGTCCAACAGGTACCGTTTGCCTTTCGCACCCTTCACTGGTGTTAACCACCATGGACAGCCCATTCTTTTCGGCTGTGCCTTCATCATAAATGAAACCGAGGCTTCATTTGTATGGCTTTTCAATACCTGGCTAACAGCAATGTCCTCCCACCCTCCTGTCTCAATCACCACCGATCACGATGCAGTTATACGTGCAGCCATCATGCAGGTTTTTCCTGCCGCCCGCCATCGGTTTTGCAAATGGCATATCTTCAAAAAATGCCAAGAAAAGTTGTCGCATGTCTTTCTCAGGCATCCTTCTTTTGAGTCAGATTTCCACAAATGTGTCAACCTGACTGAGTCGGTTGAGGATTTTGAGTCATGTTGGTTTTCTCTTCTTGACAAATATGAGCTAAGAGATCACGAGTGGCTACAAGCAATATACTCTGATCGCCGCCAGTGGATCCCAGTATATCTCCGTGATACCTTTTTCGCTGAAATGTCCTCAACTCAGCGTAGTGACACTATGAATTCTTATTTTGATGGTTATATCAACGCTTCAACCAATCTAAGCCAGTTCTTTAAGCTGTATGAAAAAGCTTTGGAGAGTCGTCTCGAGAAAGAAGTTAAAGCAGATTATGATACGATGAACTCACCTCCTGTCCTCAAGACTCCATCTCCAATGGAGAAACAGGCGTCTGAACTCTACACAAGGAAGTTGTTTATGAGATTTCAGGAGGAACTAGTCGGAACTTTGACTTTCATGGCATCTAAAGCTGATGATGATGGGGATCTTGTTACCTACCAGGTTGCCAAATATGGAGAGGACCACAAGGCTCATTTCGTTAAGTTCAACGTTTTGGAGATGAGAGCTAATTGCAGTTGCCAGATGTTCGAGTTCTCTGGCATCATATGCAGACATATATTGGCAGTCTTCCGGGTCACCAATCTCCTTACACTTCCACCTTACTATATCCTAAAAAGATGGACTAGAAATGCCAAAAGCAGCGTTATATTTGATGATGATGGTTTGCATGCGTATGCTAATTACCTGGAGTCTCATACTGTTCGATACAACACCTTACGCCACAAAGCATTTAATTTTGTTGAAGAAGCTGGAAAGTCTCTCTATACTTGTGAGGTCGCTGTAGTTGCTCTGCAAGAAGCTGCCAAGACTGTGTCTTTAGCAATGAAAAACGAAGTTACGAGAATTATAGCTAATGGTCATGTTAAAGAGAGTTCTGTAACTGGTGGAAAACTGATGTGCTGCAATGAAGACTGTCAGCACGAATTGCCGGCGCAACTAGAGCCCGAGGTGAGTAACATTTTCTTTCCTATACTTGTTATCTTGATAAAAATATTTCGTTTCTCAAAAACATTTCTACATTTTAAAAGTATCGTTTGTTCTGGTTTCCCCCCGGTCAATCAGTGCTTTGTCTCTTTGAATGGTATCGTAGACGATTGCTCTGTTATAATTTGACTTTGACTAATGTGCTCCTTCGCATGTTAAGAGATTTTTATTCAGTTTGTCAGTGTGAGCCACTATTCATGCAATCTCATTAATCTGCATGGTCCTCAATTTTTCATATGTGCTTTTACTGCTGACGAGTGGCATGAGCATATTGCCTCCGCTTTTGCAGGACGAAATGGACAAGAAGATTAATCAGCTCAGAAACGAGCTGGAATTAGCAAAAAGGAAATGTGAAGCTTACAGGACTAACTTACTTTCAGTTTTGAAAGAAATGGAAGATCAAAAGTTACAAGTGTCCATCAAAGTGCAGAACATCAAAATTAGCTTGAAGGATAGTCTGTGAAACAAGCAAAAAATATTTGGTCTTTCATATGATTCCTCGTGTATAATATCTAAGGGTTTTTGAAAGAGGGACCCAATTTTCAGGATTTCCCCGTTATAGCTCAGTAGGTAGTCTTTGCAACAGATTGTACTCCCAATCATATTCTCAATGAGTAAGCATGAAGTCGAGTCCCATAAATCTTAGCAATACCAAGCACAGTATGCGATTTGAATTGTGATTGTTATGTATCCAGCAGGTTGCACTCACTCTTTCAAGCTTAGTCTAGCATTTTGTACCTTGAGGGATAGCTGATACTTCTGTTCTTCCATATCTCTCAAAATAGATAGCAGGTTTGCTCGATAAACTTCGCATCGCTGACCAGTCCTCTCCAGTTCAGCTGTCAGTTCAAGTATCTTCCTCTCCTTTTCACCCTGACATTGAAGCTAGTACTTATTCCCAAGGAACAACGGACATCAAAGTAATAAAACTAACGGGTACCTATAGATAAATTCGCTTACCCCTGGATGATTCATTGCATTTGCAGTTTCTTGAGCTTCGTCAAACGGGTAAGAATCTCCGTTGGCAGAACTAGTTCCAGGTGTGGATCCTCTAATTTTATTACTTGCAACAGCAGCAACCTTCTTGGCAGCTTCATCTAAGGCATCCATTGCAGCTTTATAAATCTTAATAGATTTGGCGCCCTCCTCCACATACTTGGTTGCTTCTTGGCGTAGATTGTCACAGCAGACGGTTAAAGATTCTTGGCAACTGTTTGAAAACTCGGGTTGTTCCTCAATGCCGCTAGTCTTTGCTTCTTTGGTCCATCGCCTTAGTAGATACCGAGATGGAAGAGTACGGACATTTTTAGCCCTAAATACTGCCAATATGTGTCTACAAAGAATCCCTGAATACTCAAACATTTGACAGCTGCAATTAGCTTTCACCTCAAGAGAGTCAAAATTGACCGTATGACCATTGTGAGCTTGTCCGAACTTAGCCACACGATAAGTGGTGCGAGTTCCGGAATCACTAATCCTATTTGCAGGATTTGCAAGGGTCTCAACAAACTCCTCCTGAAACTTGATGAACGCTGCCCTGGTATAAAGGCTAGCAGCTTGCCTTTCCATGGGAGAGGGCGTCTTCATAATTGGAGTTGAGTTGGTTGCTTCATAATCTGCTTTCAGTTCTTTCTCACGCCAACAATCAATTGCTTTCTCATACTGGTTTATGAGCATTTGCATGGTAGTTGATGCGTCCACAAACCCTTGGAAGAATGAGTTCAACATGCTGCTTCCTTCATTTGCAGAAAGCTCTCCATAAAAGGTGCCTCTAATAAAAACTGGGACCCATTGTTGCCTAGCATTATAGATCGACTGGAACCAGTCGTTATCCTCTAGATAGTATCTTCTGACGATAGAGTCCCAGGAGGCCTCAAACTCAGCAGCCGTTTCTGTCTCGATAACGCAATTTATGAATTCGGATTCGAAGCCAGGATGAGACTGATAGACGTGTGCAAGTTTCTCCTCGGTTTCCCTGAAGATGAGGGGCTGGCTGAAACGAAGGCGAGTCTGACTGAAGACTTGAGAAACAGCAACCTGTATCAGCCGGTCTGGTTCGACTGTAATAGAAGGAGGAGGGGGAGCAGACATTGCTTGAAGCCAAGTCTGGAAAAGCCACGCAAAGGAGGACTCAGACTCGTTGAGTATAAGAGCACAGCCAAACAGAAGAGGCAGTCCATGATGGCTGAAGCCGGTGAAGGCAGCAAATGGCACTTGATACCTCTGACCCCTCCTGTAGGTTGTGTCAAAAACCACAGTATCGCCAAAGTAGGTATAATTCAACCTGCATGTTGGATCCGCCCAGAAAACATTTCCACCATTCTCCTCCATTGCATACATGAAACCTGGATTCTCGAGCTGCTTACGTTTTAGATAGTTCAATACATGATCCACCCCGGTTCCCAGGGTCCTCTCTCGCTCCATACTCCTCCCGGTCCCGGTTAAACCACCGATCCTGCCATTATCATCAACAACACATTCAATCTGAAATGGAAAGTTTTGGGTATCACAAGGAACAAATTTCGTAACTTGCAGAAGAGAGTCAGGGCAATGAGTTGAGTCTCTCCACTAAATATGTAAAAATTTACAAAGAAAAAGTAGAAACCGCCCAGAGGATTTTAGAGATTGTACCTGCGATTATAGCAATTTACAAAGATAATTTCTCTCCTTCTTCCGCTTTTTTGCAAGGCTACAAACTCTTTACAAAAAAAAAAAAAACCCTAAATCTCTACTGTAATCAATGACTTTCGACGGAGTAATGAACGACCCGTTGGATCCAAACTCGGTGACGGTCTTCTTGTCTATCACATATTGCTCTCCTGCCGTTTCGAAAAAAATCCCAAACGGCAAGCAGTTTGTTGTATTAGGGCCCTCGAATAAATAGAATATATTTGGGCCCTTGAATAAATAGAATATTTTTGGGCCCTTGAATAAATAGAACATTTCTGCGCTTACTAAATTATTTACACGGGCCCCATTTTGGAACCTGATAACAAGATATTCTTCCTTTGTCCTCTAATTCAGCTAAGGGTCATTACCTGATTTCATGGATTCTAATGTTGATTGCATGTTGAGTTAAAACATGCTAGAGTGACAAGAATGGTAGATTTATCATTGTGTTGTCGGCGTAATATTGCTGAATCTTATCAGACCATTATTTGACCATTATTAGACATCTTTGTACGTGACTGTTGCAAAATTAGTAGCCAGGTTTGAAAACAACGGTGATCCTACAGACTACTGCGGACAGACAAGTTCTGGATAATCTGGTGCTGTATTGAACCAACATTTGGTATAGCAAAATGCTTAGAGTCAACAATAAAAATAGTTTTGTGATTCACTCGGAGATTTTTAGTTGTTTTGGTCGGCTGTATTATATTCGTGAACACAGAGTTAAGGCCTAATTTGGTGGAAGGAGGACTCCTTGCTTTTAATATACAGTACTAGATATGCATGCCCTTGACTATGTTATGTGATGAATCCGAGGTTTCAGGGATCAAGGTGAGTTGCGATTTTTTTTGTTTCTTTGGCGTCATGTGATTCTTGCATTGTTTCCTATTTTCATTACTATTATTATATGCAAGTATCAGGTAATGCTTAAGATGGAAGCATGTGCATCTCCTACGTTGACTACAACCTCTCTTTGAGTTTTCTTGGAGTCTGAGGAATCGCTGACTTGATTATAGAAAAACAAAAAATGAATATAATAAGAGATAGAGAGAAGGGGGGGGGGGGGGGGGGGGGCGGCGCCGTCCAAACACTCCGCCGAATTCAAGGTTCGATGATCACCTCGGAGATGATATTAGTCTATAAATTAGAGGGAATGAGTGAGGTAAAGAAGCAGAAAGGTGGAGAAAGATGATTTCATTGTTGTTTCCGAGGTCGCATTTGTGCACAGCAGCCATAGTATTCTACACATGTGTGTGCATTCCCTTGGGGAGGTTTAAGAAGCAGTGTGGAGATGCTGAAGCGCATGATGATGACGGTTACCACTTGACGGCTGTGATGTTTAGGGACAAGGAAAAGGAGGAGGAGGATGAGGAGATATGCTGCCCCATATGCCTTGTGGAGTTTGAGGCTGAGGATGCGGTGACCCATCTTCCTAGATGCGCTCATCTTTTCCATATCCATTGCATTGAACCTTGGCTTCTCCGTGGCCATCTCACTTGCCCTCTCTGCAGATCATTTGTCTTCTCTCCTACTCCTCCTAACCACAATGTGGATGTCAATAGTGCCGCTTCCCCTTACACCTTCTATCTCTCCCTCTTCTTCCTTTTCTGCCTCTTTCTCCATCTGCTTGGATACTTGTAGCCTTTCCTTCATTCTTTATATACTTATATACACTGTACTGTATGTCTTCATTAGAAAGCCACAATCAAAGCGTTGATGTCTTCATATCAATCAACTACTGTAAGTCACACATTGTTTTTTTTTTGTTGTTGTTGTTGTGGAAAACTAGACAGAGACACAGCAGAGCTTTTGAGTTAGTTACTTGCTCTCCTTGCTCTGTTTCCCAATTGAATTGTTACTTTGCGTAAGAACCGCAAGTATTGAATTTAAAGCCCAATGGGCTGCTGGCAGATGATGAATATTCATGATTCAATCAATCAGTAAGTGGGCCTTAATTAAACCACAACAAATTAAAATGGGCCTCTTCATTCAGTATATACCAAAAAAAAAAAAGAGTAGCAGAATGTCGAAAGAGAGTACTAAAGGCTACTACGGTTCCACTCCCAGAGCGACTGTCTGCGCTGCGCCTTTTTGAAATCTGAAACAAAAAGCAAAGCTCTCTTCTCCTTCTTCTCCTCCGAGGAGGAAGAAAAGCAATCCAGAGAAAATTAGCAGCTTCGCCTCCGACCATTACCTCGACTGCGACTTTGATTTACAATACAATACCTTATCCTACAAAAAGGTCCGACTCTCTCTCCCTTTTCTGCGTTAATTCCATTTTCCTTGGACTCTCTGCCTCGCCGCCTTTTTCTTCGGATTTTGATATCTTCACACTTGTAGATACATGCTTTCTCTTTTCTTCATCACATAGTATTTTGTCATTTGTACGGCGTCGGATGTGGTACTGAACATGGCCGCTACTATCCTAGGGTTTCATAATTTTTTTTTTTTTTTTGTGCTTGTTTTAGATTTTGATCTGCTCCACCTTGTATTGGTTATCGGTTTGCGTGCAGAGGGAATGGATACTGGCGGCAATTCGCTGGCGTCCGGACCTGACGGCGTGAAGAGGAAAGTTTGCTATTTCTATGACCCAGAAGTTGGGAATTACTACTACGGCCAAGGTCACCCCATGAAGCCCCACCGCATTCGCATGACCCATGCCCTACTTGCTCATTACGGTCTCCTCCAGCATATGCAGGTTCTTAAGCCCTTCCCTGCCCGCGACCGTGATCTCTGCCGCTTCCACGCCGACGACTACGTCTCCTTTCTCCGCAGCATTACCCCTGAAACCCAGCAAGATCAGATTCGCCAACTCAAGCGCTTCAATGTTGGTGAAGATTGTCCCGTCTTTGACGGCCTTTATTCTTTTGCCAGACCTATGCCGGGGGCTCTGTTGGTGGCTCTGTCAAGCTTAACCATGGCTCTGCGATATTGCCATCAATTGGGCTGGTGGTCTCCATCATGCTAAGAAGTGCGAGGCCTCTGGCTTCTGCTACGTCAATGACATCGTCCTAGCTATCCTAGAGCTCCTTAAGCAGCATGAGGTTTGTCTCCTGACTGCAGCGTTTCTCCCATTGCCCATGATATTTTTATATAGGTATATAGTGTAGTATTTTTTTTTGGCTTCTGAATCTCTTCCCTCTTCCTCTCTCTCTTTCGCAGCGTGTTCTATATGTAGATATCGATATTCACCACGGGGATGGAGTGGAGGACCGCGTTTTATTCTACTGACAGGGTCACGACTGTCTCATTCCATAAATTTGGGGATTACTTTCCCGGTACAGGTCATATACAGGATATTGGTTATGGAAATGGAAAGTACTATTCTCTTAATGTACCACTGGATGATGGAATCGATGATGAGAGCTATCATCTGTTATTCAAGCCGATCATGGGCAAAGTGATGGAAGTTTTCCGACCAGGTGCCGTGGTATTGCAATGCGGTGCTGATTCATTGTCTGGCGATAGGCTGGGTTGCTTTAATCTTTCGATCAAAGGTCATGCTGAGTGTGTCAAATTTATGAGATCGTTCAATGTTCCCCTACTGCTCTTGGGTGGTGGTGGTTACACTATCCGCAATGTTGCCCGTTGCTGGTGCTACGAGGTACTTTATTCTGTTCATTTAGATGCTACTCTTTACCAAGATTATCTCTCTCACAAAACCGTTATCCGATTTCTATGGCCTTTGTTTTTCTACTTCTATTCTCTTTGAATCTACTGCAACATACTATTCATCGGACAGACTGGAGTTGCACTTGGAGTTGAAGTTGATGACAAGATGCCAGAGCATGAATATTATGAGTACTTCGGTCCAGACTATACACTTCACGTTGCTCCAAGTAACATGGAAAATAAGAATTCTCGCCAGATGCTTGAAGTGATTCGTAATGACCTTCTCCACAATCTATCTAAGCTTCAGCATGCTCCAAGTGTGCCATTTCAGGAAAGGCCACCAGAAACAGAGGCTCCCGAGGTATGTCACTCGAGGATATCATTTGAAGTGCGTTTGGCTGTTTTTCTTCTGTACCCCATTCTTTCTTGCATATCCTCATGGCTTTTCGTGAGGCTATTTTAGTGCAATTAGAATTACAATTAGAATTTCCCTGATGGGTGACTTTGGTTGGCTACCCATTTTTAATTTTGTGAAGTACACTATGTAAATTACAGGTAGATGAAGACCAAGAAGATGGAGATAAAAGATGGGATCCGGATTCTGATATGGATGTAGATGATGACCGGTATGGAATATCTACTCTTTTTTTTTTCTTTTTTTTTTTTCGCGCCAGCAGGGTTGTGTTTACTTAAATTACCATCCCATTGTGCAGTAAACCTATACCAAACAGAGTGAAAAGAGAAGCTGTTGAACCTGATGCAAAGGACAAGGTAATACTGAATTATTTCTTATTCCCCGTGATTACTTAAACATTGCTACTGGCATTAGTTCATCTAGGTTGAGAGCATTTTCCAGGAATCTTCTCTGCGGAATATGGCAAAAAATATTACACCAAAGCGACTCTTTTTCTCAATTTGAGACCCCCAGAACCTAAAAGATTGAATCTCATTCTGACATTGAACCACTTAATCTGAGCTGGAGATACATTCACCCGAGGCTAGTGAATCTTCAGCTATGCTCCAATAGATTTAGCCTAGGCTAGTTAGAATGGTCCAACAACCGACTTGAGTAGCACATGTGACCTGCTTGCTAAGCTGAGCTGAATCATCTTTGCCTCACTCCCGTCTTTGTGATATAGACTCTATTGTCAGTTGATTTGTTTATCATGACGTGTATGTGCAGGATGGACTGAAAGGAGTAATGGAGCGTGGCAAAGGTTTTGAGGCGGGTATGGATGAGAGTGGAAGCACAAAGGTGAATTGAAACTATAATAGATCTGAGAGATTGACATTAAAAAGGTTGAGGCCGGAAATTGGATTGGTTTGACATGCAAATGGTTTTCTAAATTGGATTGGTTTGGTTGCAGGTTACAGGAGTAAACACAGTTGGAATGGAGGAAGCAAGTGTGAAAATGGAGGAGGAAGGAACAAGCAAGGCTGGGGTGGATCAGGTGTTTCCTAAAACATAAAGATTTGGAGCTTCTCATTTCTTGTTGACTTCCTGTTTTTAAGTTATTGTTAGTTGGCATCTGGACATTATGTTTTTTTTTTTTTTTTCTTGAGGGTTGAGCACGTACGATATGTATTTATTCCTTGCAATGGCATGAATGATCACGAGATTTGCTGGGCCTAAATCTGATGGTGCCGAAGAAATTTAGCTTGTCCTAAAGCCTACTTTATCATCACCCCGAGAAACAGAGTCATCATGGGGCTGTGTGGCAATGCCTTACTAAAAAAATGGTAAAGCCATTGGGGATTTTGTTCTTTGGTTTGCGACTCTTTTCTGTGTACTTGAATAGACACTGTTAACAAGATTAAAGCCATTGTTACATGTGAGTGCACAAGTTGTATTGCCTGCCTATGTTTCCATTGTTACATGTGAGCGCACAAGTTGTATTGCCTGCCTATGTTTTCTTCCTCTTTTGACGATCGAGGAAATGCGAGTTTTTGGTGTCTAAAGAACATCTAACTTACCTCCAAAATGGGCTGAGCCCAACGAATTCTGGATCTAGACGTACCATTAACTTATATTGACCAGCCCAAGTCAGTGAGCCCAAAGGTTTACCTTTCCTTATGTCGGAAACCGTTTCGTGTTCGACCGCAGCACATCTCCTCTCTCTCTCTCGTCTTTCTCTGATTACTCGGTAACTGAACATGTTCACGGCGGCAGCTTCGTCAAGCGCGGGAAGGTGGCGGACGGCGTTTCTCTCTCTCAGGGACGAAATCTTAAGCACCCCACCGCCGCTGATTCCTCTGTTGCTTCAGGATCTACTCTTCTCTCACTCTCATTCCCTTCTGTCTGTCGTCTCTCTCCTCCCACCGCACGAGCTCACTTCGGATTGCTTATTCCTGCTCGATTTGGTTTCCAAAGCTGATGGTCCTGACTGGATCGCTGTATCTCTTCATACTTGTCAATTGGTGCGTCCTTTCCTCCACGTCTCATTTTTGTTTTCCAATTCCTTGTATTCGATTGCCCTCTCCTTAATCCTATTGCCTTAAAATCCAGATACACGATGTTTTTGCTCGTGTACTTGTGCAACAAAATTCATCGTCATGGCCGCTCCTTCTTCACTCTTTTGCTAGTGTCTTGGAGTTTCTTCTGCGCCAACCAATGCCTTCACCCTATTCCTCTGCATATTTCTCCAGAATCGAACCTGTGAACCAATGTTTCGAGACTCTAAGGTTTTATATAATCTCTCACTCCCTGATTGGTTTTTTTTCTTGCTGACTTTTCACTTTCTTCGTAACCTCCTCCCTTTTCCCAGACGTTTCGCGGCTCTGTACCACAGAAATAGCTCCCATCAGGAGAACATTCACTTAGTCAACTTTCTCCTGCGCATAATTCCGTTACTACACCAGGATTTAGTTGCGTCGTATGGTTTCTCAAATCATGACCCTACTTTAGATCTGGGTAAAAAGCTGCCTGAACAGAGTGGTAGCTTATGGGATGCCATGGCTCTTGCCTTTGACATGTTTGGTGGAGCATTTTCTGTGTCTGAGTCTTTCTTTCCTAGTGACGTCTCCCAGTCCTCGCTGGAGGTGATCCCCTTCACATCTCCTCTCATCTCCATAATATTCGTTGTAACTCAAGGTTGTACATGCATCCTGATATAGGTTCTAAGGAAAGTAATGGACGTCTTAGCATCCAAGGGCCAGCTTGTCGAGGACCGATCTATGTGGAGGTACGTCTTAAGGAACTTTCAACTATTTTTTGTCTTTGTGGAGAATACGATATACTACTCTTTTATATTGGGTTTTATTAGACTCTCTCCCCCCTTAGCTAATATTGTTTTCTCAATTTTCCTCAGCTTTTATTCATGCCTTCTAGACTGTGTGCACTTGGTCCTCACAAATGTCAAATGTCCGGTTTCTGATCATGTACGTAGGTTCTTGATACCCTTTGCTCTCGTAGCCTTAGATAAGTGAATTTCTGGTTTGAACAGACTTTTTTTTTTTTTCCTTTTGTTTGACCAGAAACTGTAATGTTGCAGGTCTCGAGTTTTATAGCGGCATTGAGAATGTTTTTCTGTTTTGGACTTACTGGCACACCTCACTTCTCTCATTCAGATGTTGTGCACAAGGATAAGCAGTTGGATGTCAAGCTTTCCACATTAAAGTCTGGAGTAAGTAAGAACGCCAAAAATACTCCTTATAGGCCTCCCCACTTGCGCAAGAGGGATGAATTGAACTCTAAGCTGCCGGTGTCTTGTGACTGGCGGCGCCTGTCTGCTCATGATTCTGCTAGTTCTGATGTTTTATCATCAGATTCTGATTTTAGTGACAGTGACGGATCTATAAGGGATTCTTATTGTTCCCAAAGCTCTAAGGTTAGGAGAGCTGCGCTTGTTTGCATACAGGTGCGTGGCAATGTTTTCTTCCTAGTTGGTTCTCATATTCCATTTACTTTTCAGTTCCATTTACTTTTCAGTAACAATTACTTAGTCAGTTTCTTATTCTTCCGTTAAGGATCTTTGCCAAGCTGATTCGAAGTCATTTACCACCCAGTGGATGGCACTCTTTCCAACCAGTGATGTACTGAAGCCAAGGTCGAAAATTACATACAACATCTTTAGTCAGTGTATCATTATATTATCTTGTCTCCTTAACTCCCCGAAATCATCAACAGGAAGTTTGAAGCTACTCTTATGACTTGCTTGCTTTTTGATCCTCATTTGAAGGTGGTTATTACTGTGCCTTATAAGTAGTTGAGGCCGTATGTTTCGATGTTCCATTTTCACCTTTTCAACATCGAAATTTACGGCCTCAACATACATCTAGAGTCTGTTTTTTTGGCTCATTTTCGTGACAGCTGAGTCCTGACAATACTTTTTTGTTTGTTTTCTTTTTGCAATGTCTAGGTAAGGATAGCATCTGCGTCAGCTCTTGCCACCATGATGGATGGGCCTTCATCTATTTTCCTTCAAGTGGCAGAGTACAAGGAATCCACCAAGTATGGATCGTTCATGCCCCTCTCAAATTCCCTTGGTCTAATATTAATGCAACTTCACACTGGTACTATAACAACATTAATTTTTCCCTTTTTCTTCTGGCTTGGCTATTAGTTATTCCTTGTTTGACTGAGTTTTTATTCCCTTTTTTTATGGGCGTAGGCATTCTACATTTGATTCACCGTGATAATCATGGTAGATTGTTGATTCAGCTGTTCAAGATCCTCTTACTTCTGATATCAAGCACACCGTACGTACATTTTTTCTGTGTTTAGCTTGTCGGCTCTTCATGGTTACTGATATTTTTTTTTTATTGTTTAAGTATTGTATCTTTATAACGGTGTTTGATATCTGTCATAAAAAAACAAATGGACTTGATAAAGGTTTATCTTCGACTAAGTGAATTGCAAGAGCTTGAGCTTCATGAATATGCGTGTAGACCCAGCACCCGTTTAGCTGATGCTTTTTCTTGTTAAAACATTTAGTATCTTGTATGAGATTTTCATGTGTTCTTTAATGTTTGCTATCATTTTCAGTTACTCGAGAATGCCAGGAGAATTGCTGCCAAAAGTTATAATGTCTCTGCATGGTAGGATTAATGAGGGGTTTCCTTTCAAAAATGATAAAACTGGTCTGCTGGTTAGTTCTTCCTTTCCATATGTTGTTTTGTCTGTTTGTTGTCTTGGTTTATGGTGGATATATGAATTCATGTTTTCATATCTAGGGTTTCTGTCTTGGACTATCCTAGTTCCTACTTGCTGAAGTCATGAGATTTAGACTAATTTTAGTTACATACGTAAGTGTGTAGACTTAAGGAAGCAATAGAAGGAGAATAAAATGGGATTTTAAACGGTGCAGTCGTTGGACAAGGGTCTAGGGACGTTTTTGGGAGAGTTTCGTTTCTGCTTATGTTTTCCAGTTCCTATCCTATTAATAAATTCTGTTCTAGTTTTCTTTTCGCTGATTTTCTAATCCCATCGATTTTAAGTTTCTATTCATGGAGGCGAAGTAGAGGTGTGGTAAGAACCAACAAAAGATCTTTCTTCATTCAATCAACCAAAGAAAGAGTCACTCCTTGAGACTCTTTTTAATAGAGGATTCTCAGCTCTGAACCCCAATACCTAAGTAACACAGACCGATACACTTCCCCAATGATTATAACATTTTCCTCGCTCTAATTAACCCTTCCCACATTTGATTTAGATGGTTGGTTATGCGGAGCTGGGAACTAAGGGTTTAAGTTGCCTTGCCTTAGATTTTTGGAAAAACTTCCTTTTCTAAACTCAAGCTTCTCCCTTTTAAAAGTTGCTCCTGTGAATGCCATACCTATATCATGATATGTTTTGTGTAGGTTTTGGCAATAGGTTGCCTGACAGCTGCATTCTCTACCTTTCCTCCTCAAATGAAAGTACATAATATGCTTTTGGATGAGACATCAGCAGGTTGACCTTTTCCGATTGCTTGCACCTGTTCCATTGTGACGACTGTCCTAACCATAATCTCATTATAATATTTGACATTCTTTGTTGAAGTCGTTTCAGGATTCGAGGGATGTGAATGGAAGTCAGGTGTTCTTTGTACTTTATTTCGTTTTGCTGAGCAATTTTCTGACTCATCAACATGCGTTGAGGCTCTTCAGGTATTATGTGGGTTCCTAGTCTTGTAAGGAGTACTAGTAAAAGTAGAAGGATAGACGCATACATAAAGAACATATTAACCTATCTGTATACATTTTTGTGATGAGGGTGGGGTGCGGTAGAAAATTAATGTGAGACTGGGGCATGGTTGAGGAATATGCTCACTGTTTTGTTTGTCCTCAAAGATATGTGGTTGCTGCGCAGGCCCTCCGAGCTATGGCTCTCAATTACCCGACCGTAGTGTCAGCATATTGGGAACGGATCTCTGTCCTCGTTTATAAACTCTTGCAGTGTGCTGTTGTTGAATATCCTGCAACGACATGGAAAGCTTCAGTTAGAGAACCTGTTGGATATATTGGGGATAAAGTCCTCACAGCTGCTATTAAGGTAGGATTATCAAATAACTATGTTCTATATATCTAAAATTGAAATGTCTTCTATATTCCCTAGCTTCTGTGGACCAGGGCCGTTCATTGCCGATTGGTAGCATGCTCAGTTTTATTTTTGAATTGTGCCAAGTTTTTTGTCTGCTTTTAGAAAGAATCTGGCTTGACAGCTAAGCCATTTGAATAAGGATTTACTCATTATTGCATATAGGTTTTGGATGGATGCCTTCGCGCAATATCTGGATTTAAGGGAACAGAGGATCTTCAGTACGATAGATTAATGGATACACCATTTACATCTGACTGCTTAAGGTCAATAAGAATTTCATCTGCACCATCATATGGATTTGAAAATCCTGAATTTGTTCAAGAGCCAATTTTTCAGGCAGGATGTTACCAATGGTCTGAGGCTATTCGTAAACATATAGTTCTGGTGTTACAACATGGTTCTGCGGTGGTGGGTTTAATCTTGACAAGTTTTAGTACAATCATACATGCAGTTGCTGTAGTTTGAATATCTGCGGTCCTGAATATATTCCTATGTTTGGAAGGTGAGGAGCACTGCGGTTACTTGCTTTTCTGGTATTACATCCTCCATATTTGTCTCTTTCAATAAGCAGGAAAAGGATTTTATTACTTCATCAATTGTAAGTATTGGAGCCTTGTTGTGATTGGAGTTTAACTATCTCAACTTTAGTTTTTAGGACATGTGCATGACGTCTTTTAGTTTTTGCAGATAACCGCTGCATTGCATGACAAAACACCTTCAGTCAGATCAGCAGCTTGCCGAGCTATTGGTGTAATTTCATGTTTTCCAGAAACTTCTTTAAGGTAGCTTCACCCTTTTGTCACTGTCTGTTAAAACAATCTGTTGCTTGTCCCAATTATCCATAACAAGATATCCGTGATCACGAACTTAAGGAGCTTTGTTGATGCAGTGTGGGGATATATGAAAATTTTATCTTAGCTGTTGAAGCGAATACCCGCGATCCTTTGATCTCGGTATTACATTACTGACTTTCATTTCCTTGCTCTCATGAGCTAGGCATTTTAGATTCACTTTTCCTATTGCAATGGACTTTATGCTTGTCAATTCAGGTGCGTATAACGGCATCCTGGGCTTTGGCCAATGTATGCGAAGCTCTGCGTTACCGTGTCGATGGTAGGTCCTTTGAAGGTATCATCAATACTGAAGTTATAGTTAGACTCTGGTATATCTTTTGGACATACTTTTCCTTTCTTTTCCTTAGTAGGATCAAATACAACTTCTCTAGTTGTGGACGCACTAATAGAATGTGCTTTGCGTCTTACTGAGGATGCGGACAAGGTAATGAAAATTGCTCCAAACAGATTGTGATAATTAGTTTTTCTTACTAATGATATGCTCCTCAATCCCAAATTTTACTCTATAAAATTAATTATTTATTTTCTCGGTAATTTTATTATTCAAATGTTTTGTTTCTCTGTGGCGAAATTGGCTGGCAGATATTTATTTTTCTATGAAGCGCACAGTAGACTTTAGTATTATTTGCCTGTCATCATCATTTCCGGAATTCTGTTGTTAGGTCAAAGCCAATGCAGTTCGGGCACTGGGGAGTATTTCAAAATATGTAAAATTGAGATGCATGACAAGTAACCACGAGGTTTTACCTTTGCCTCATCACCATTCATCAAATTCTCACCATCTATCTTGCGCGGTTGATTCAAGCTGGTTGGAGAGGGCCGTGCAAGCATTTATTTCCAGTGTTACTACTGGTAATGTTAAGGTATACCTTAATAAGTAGAATTAAACGAGATAGTCGTCATCTGGATGTGAGCATTTGAGTTTCAATCAGTTTTGGTGCGAGTTGGCCTAGTTTGGTTTGGGAGAAAGCTTATCAAACTCAAATCTTATTAATTTGGTTTGGTGTCATAAAGATTTTTTATTTAGCAAGGTAGTGGAATTGTTTTGATTGGGGTTAATGTGTTTGGGTTTGTTTACCCTTTCCCTAGCTTTTTTTACTCCATTTTTTTACTTTAGAAATTTTTCCGGGTCAAAGGGAAGGTTTCCCGTGCGTTAACCAATTTTTTCTCCAATGAGCCAGTAAAACTCCAAAATAGGGATTGGTATGCTTCCTTTAGCTTTTTGTTACAAAAGTTATTACTCCGGGTTACCTTTCCAACCTCTTTTTTTTTTGAAGGGCTCCAAGTTTTTTTAGTTTTTTATTATTGTTGTTTCGGGAGGCAGCAAACTTTAAAGTAAGAATCCAAGCGGCTGCCGCTTTAGCTGTTCCCCAACCCCCACTGGGGGAGATCCCTTTTCTCCCCTCCCCCCCCCCCCCCGGATTTTAATTTGGACAAGGTTTGTCTCATATTTTTTTGGTGTTTGAGGATTCGGTTTGGCTAATTATTCCCTCGCGCATGATGTAATTACAGCTTATGGGAGATCATTCCCTGATGTTGTCAAAGGTGTGGAGCATACTTTACAGAGTCTGAATTCTGACAAAGAGACGACTCCAACGACTTTCAAATATAAGAGATCGCTTGAGAATCAGGTAAAATCACGAAAACCCTGTTGGCCGAGTTTTAGGTTACTGATGAAGGATTTTTCTAAGTGCGGTTGGTTGTTTCAGTTAACCTCAACCATGCTGCATCTCCTCAGCCTAGTCTCAAGCTGTCATTGTGAAGGGTTGGCAGATTTTCTCGTTAAAGTAAGAAACTGGGACCTGTTGTTGTTGATACCACTGAATTCATTTGCCTGGTTAAAGGAATAGTGACTTAAATATTTGGTGGTGTCGGTTGAAACCTTACAGAAAGCATCGTTTCTAGAGGAGTGGTTGAGAGGATTGTGTGTGACATTGAAGGAGGAAGACAATGCGTCTCGATCAAGCGGCACAAGCACTTCGGGTGAGAAGCAGAAGAAAGAGTTGATATCTAAAGCTATACGGTCACTTGCCAGAAGCTTAGGGGCTGGACAGAGCCCTGAAAGGGCTCTAAACTTGCAAGAGTTAGATAGCAATGTGAATTGACTTAGCAAGCTACGTTTTTGGGTTATCTTGGCCCTGTAATATGACTGTACAATAGTTCCATGACAAATTTGTTATGGTACATAAAATTATTTTTGGCCGATATACATTTGATCTTTGAATATAGGATAGAAAACATATGTATATTTGGTGTATTACATACACAATTTTGTATAATACTATGCATCGTTAGTAACCTTGAATCAAACTGTGGAATCCTGGGATAAACTAGCTCTTTTAAATTAGTGGTGAGCATTATGTTTGTGTTCCGAGAAAATGTTTATGAAAGGCAGAGGAAAACGAGAATTAATATTCTTGGTCAAAGACGATGTCTTTGACGAAAGAGTATGAGCAAAAGCTTGAATCGAAGAGGCGAATTTCAGAAATCAAAATCAAGGGGAGTGAAGCTACGTGGTTCTTGCTGTGAGTTAGAGAAAATGAAATTAAGCTCGACTCGTGTATTTCCAATGAGGCGCAGAGATCAGAAAATTTTCGTGGCAAATGGTGATAATGCATCAGTATGTCCAGCGTGTGTATGAGGTATTTCTCCGCAGATTGTGTCAAAGAAAGATCAGTGTTTTATGAATCACCCATAGGGTTTAGGCTTAGGGTTTAGGGTTTAGGGTTTAGGGTTTAGGGTTTAGGGTTTAGGGTTTAGGGTTTAGGGTTTAGGGTTTAGGGTTTAGGGTTTAGGGTTTAGGGTTTAGGGTTTAGGGTTTAGGGTTTAGGGTTTAGGGTTTAGGGTTTAGGGTTTAGGGTTTAGGGTTTAGGGTTTAGGGTTTAGGGTTTAGGGTTTAGGGTTTAGGGTTTAGGGTTTCGGGTTTAGGGTTTAGGGTTTAGGGTTTAGGGTTTAGGGTTTAGGGTTTAGGGTTTAGGGTTTAGGGTTTAGGGTTTAGGGTTTAGGGTTTAGGGTTTAGGGTTTAGGGTTTAGGGTTTAGGGTTTAGGGTTTAGGGTTTAGGGTTTAGGGTTTAGGGTTTAGGGTTTAGGGTTTAGGGTTTAGGGTTTAGGGTTTAGGGTTTAGGGTTTCGGGTTTAGGGTTTAGGGTTTAGGGTTTAGGGTTTACGGTTTAGGGTTTAGGGTTTAGGGTTTAGGGTTTAGGGTTTAGGGTTTAGGGTTTAGGGTTTAGGGTTTAGGGTTTAGGGTTTAGGGTTTAGGGTCTAGGCTTCAGGGTTTAG